GCCTGCGCCCCGGGCACCGCGCTGCGCGGGACCCCGTTGCCGCGCAGCTCCCGCGAAAGCTGAGCGGGGCCGGGTACCACTGCTGAGGGCTGCACGCTTCCACCTTTTAACTCGGGGTTTGCTCTGTCTCTTTTTGGTGGCAGGTTACAGATGCACCGTCCCAGGAAGGTCACCTCTCCGGGCGGGAGCCGGAGTCACCCAAGGCAGAGAGTGACAACGTCTTTCTCATCAGGGCGCAAGGATTCCCCTTCTCGTGCACCGAGGAGGACGTGCTTACCTTTTTTGATAGTACGGCAGTTAATTTTCCCGCCTAACTGTCCAGTGTGGGGGTGTTGAACCCAATAGTTAAGGATTAGTTAACAGGAAATTTAAAGATCGTTAGCCAGAGAAAGATGAGTTTTTAATATTGCTGCAAAATAATTCACAATTTACACATATAAAACAAATAATCAACTTCGAAACTGCTGGACAAGGTCTAGAAACTCTTCCTTATGGCATTTTATATTTAATTGAGCAAGTCTTTCCCTTCTTAGTCGGTGTCTCCACACTAAAGGCAATCCAATTCAAAGTGGTTCCTTTAAAGACCGTTATGGTTGGCTTTCCCCCCCCCCCCCCCTCTTACCCCCCTTTTAAACAAACTGGAGTGGTTTTTACTTACTGGTTTAAACTTCAGTGTTGTTTTCTGATCCTAATTAATAGGTTTGTGCATACCTTTGCAGGGCTGATCCCTCCACACTGTAATATTATGATGCAGCCTTCCAGAATAGACTAGATGGTCAGATCCAAGTTTTTAAATGGTTTAATAACCTGCCGAACTAAATTAAGTCAGTTTGAAGTCCTAGGGAAAAGAAGCATAGAGCAGGCAGAGTATAGCTATAGAGTCTGAAAGACTATTGCATTTGTGCTTGATTTCAAATTACTTGGAAACAAGTTTACCAACAATATGAGAACATATATTTTCCAGTTATACAGCTGTGGAAGCTAATGGATGTCAAATCCATTTCTTATCTGTGATAAGCACCGTGTGCTAAGCGTTAAGGTCAGAAATCGGAGTTTCCTGCCCTTTGTTTCAAGACAGTATTTTGCACTGCTGAGGGGGATAGCTCTATGCAGAATAGTCAGTTTTCATCTGCAATCAGAAGACCCTCATGTTTGATGCACTTGTGTACGTTTCTGTCTCATGTGTTCCTTGATTTCTAGGCTGTAGGATTCGAAATGGTGAGAATGGCATACACTTCCTCTTAAACAGGGAGGGGAGACGCAGGGGGGATGCCTTAATCGAGCTGGAGTCGAAAGCAGATGTCCAGAGAGCCTTGGAAAAGCACCTGAGGTATATGGGCCCACGCTACGTGAAAGGTGGGTTTGAAACAACAGAAGCTACATTGGGAGAAAAGTCATGATAAAGTGAATATGAACTGCTTGAATAATAAAGCGGGCTGGTGTGGAGAGGTGCAGGATGTGGAACAGAGCAGCAGATGAGCCAGCAAGGCACCATTAAGCCCAAACTTCCTAGGCTGGACAGGAAAAGCAAAGCAGCCTGTGTAGTGAGGGGCACCATTGCAGGACCATAGAGTATGGGGTGGGGGAAGCAACATGAAGTTTTGCAGGGGGGAAAAAGCTGCCTTGAAGAATGCCTGCAGGGTGCCACCTTCTGAGTACCATGAGGAAAAACATGTTTTGTGCCTGTATTCCTTGCAGTTTTTGAAGTACACGATAGTGATGTAGAGGGCTTACTACAAAACCTGCGGGATGAGTCACAAGCCATAAATGATGGAGTTGTACTGCTCAGAGGCCTTCCGTTCAGCTCCACTGAGGACGATATCGCAGACTTTTTCTCAGGTAACTCAGCCTCACCTGTGCTCTTCGGTTATGAGGCTTTTCCTTCTCCACGTCAGTGCTTAGGTAGGCTGTTGTTCCTGTAAGTGAGAAAAGCAAAAGCACACGCAGCCTTGGACACTTTAAACAATATAAGGAATTGCTGTTCCCCGTGCGGCTAGAAGTAACTAAAGCTTTCTGAACGAGCTTTTGGCCGCAAGGTTTCCTTGCACCTTTGACTTTCTGCAGGTCTAACCTAGGATCAGTACTTGCAGCACTCTTCTTTTGGGGCCAGGGGAAGGAAAGAGAGGAACCTAGTTCGTATTATCTGCAATTGGATTGCTACCAGTGCATAATTTGGCAAAGTTAATACAGGCAAAAATGCCTGTATGATAGTTCCAGTACAAGTGAATGCAGCATGGGTATTCAGAGCTGTATAGTCATGACAGTTAGATCATGTATGCCACTTCAAACTGTTAACAGCAATTTTTTTTTTTTGTTATTATTGGCTTGTTCATGGTTGTTGAAGTTAACTGCACCACTTCTCAGCTGAGCAAGTATTGCGCAGTGTGTGCGTGTGCATGCTCACGTCCCACGCTCAGTGCTAGAGCAATCCAGGTGGTTGCTGCCTGCATTCATTAGGAAAGAAGCCTTTCTAGATTTTGCAAAATAAATTTACATTTCCTTAGGTAAAGTTTAAGTTGTAGAGTAAACCAAAAATCAGTGCTTCCCCCCAACTTCTTCCACTCCAGGTAGGCATGCACACAGAGTCCTGTAGCACTGAGGCTCATAATAACCACCGTCATGCCAAAAGCAAAGGCCACCGATAGTAATTTTTTCAATTGATAACCAGTAGTTCAATATGTTTGAAGGCATCTAGTAGCAAAGTATCACAATGAGATGACTAGGGCAGCATTGTGGAGCAAGTATTTCCATTTCTCCAGGAGCTTGCAGAGGCCCTTTGAGAAAGTAACAAGGTACAAAGAAGTACACAAAAGCATTCCCGGGGGGCGAGGGGGGGGGAAATGTAGTAGCCCAGCCCGGTGTGCTCTCTGTATCACATCAGATAAAGCTGTTGACTGGATTACAGGCTCCCCAAGAAGACGGGGCACAAAAATTGAAGTTCAGTGAATTTGACTTGGGTTTTAAAGGGATGGGGAAAATTACCATAATAGTAAGAGAAAATTTCAAGACCATTTGTGCTCTGGACCTCCTTGTTGTCTAGAACTTGGATGCACTTGTTATTTTCATAGTTACTTGAAGCCTCAAGTCGATTCATTATTGGCAATTAAGCCTTCTGTGAAAACTAACTTAAAGCAAATAAATTTGAGTTAAGAAAAGGTATGTAGGCCAGCATGAGAGGTTTTTTTCAGAAACATTTAACTGCCTGATTAGCCTGTCAAAAGCCAGAAGAGTAAGGGAAGAAATATCTCTTTCTTGAGCTATGGCACAAGTTCCTGACAACGTAAATGCCTTTTTCTCCCCACCTTTCCATAGGTTTGAAAATAACCGACATAGCTTTCGTTTACCGGGGAGAAAGAAGAACGGGAGAAGCTTTCGTGCAGTTTGCAGCTCCTGAAATGGCAGCTAAAGCCCTGTTACGACACAGGGAATATATGGGAACTAGGTAGGTGCTTCACTGGGGTTCACGAGGGTGGAAGAACATGGTATGAAGCATGCTGTGTGACTTACAGCTTGCTTCTTGCCAGGTGAAACAGCTCATCTTAGGCTCTCTCATGCTCACATTATTATTAAGGAAGCTTCTGCCCTTATTACCCTTAAAACCTGTAACTCAGACTTTAGATTCAAATTTCAGTAGAAATCATAGCTAAATCTTTCTCATAGTTGTGTCAGACTTACTTTGTGGCTTAAAACATTTCTTTCTTAATAGCACCCTCTGAAATACTCTGTGTAACCCAAGTGTTACATCCTCTGGTGATGTCTTCTCCAGCTTTGTCAAGGTTCTGAAGAAAAGAAGATGAAGCCTTTTGCAGGCTTCTGTGCGCTGCAAAGGCACCTTCCGTGCTCGTAGCTTGGGGGAATTCGGGGTCTCTCAGACAAAGTCTTGGTTCTTTTTAGGTATTCCCAAAGGCAGTCTCATCCCAACAAAAGTGGGGTGATAGCATTCAGAGCAGGGAACGCTAGATAGATGCCGCCTGCCCAGTCACAAGCGCATGGGGATCCTGCGCCTCCTACAGACATTTGCCCCTGCCGAATTTCCACCAGGTTCCCTGCTGCTTTCCGCAATTTTGGCAACTCTCGCCCTTCCCTTCAGCCCCGTACCAGGCACAGTCAGTGTCTCCACTTGGAGAGTACATCGTACGAAGCACAGCTTATCACTCACCTCTGGCTCGAATCCATTCCCAGCGTTGACTGCTGGCTGACACCATACAATCATCGATCTCTTGAGTGACCGCATCCACCTGGGCTGTCCTCCTTCCTCAGGGATCCATGTTTAACCACTTGTGTCCAGAGCACTGAGCCCTACGCCACACACTTCTCTCACAAGAGCCTCTCTTTCTCAAGCAAAAGCATATACAACTTTTTCCCCGAATCCTGAGCTGCACTCAGGAAAAAAGAAAAATTATTATTTTTTTTAACCTGCTGAGGTTTCTGATTTTTCTTTCATAATCCACTGAGTTTTCTTTCTGAATACCAGGTAGCAAAAGAGCTCTCCAAGCCTTTCCACTTCACCTAGCAGCACCTACTTCCTTTTTTCTATTTCCTTATTTCCTGTTCCCACTCTGCATTTCCTTGTGTTTGTCCCCCCACCTGTATTAAAATGGCTGCTCTGTAGGTGTGCCCAATAATTGAATTAACTGACACGCTTCCCTGCCCTCCGATAGAGATTAATTGATTCTCAAGTCTGCCATTAATTTTTTCTTCATCGCAATCGAACAAGAGCTGATCTGACACAACTACCCGAGCTCGTATACCTCTGTTTCTGTGTGATTAGCCGAGAAACCGAGTGGTTTCTGAAACTGCTGTCAGCTTCCTCTTGTTCATTCTTCCTGGGCTATCAATTTTATCCAGGAACGGCCTTCAGCTGTGCGCAGTGCTGAGCATGGGCTCACGGGGCTGAGCTGTAAGCTCTGTCAGCCTGCACGTGGCGTTACTTCCCTTACTGCAGCTGCTCCCTTTAGAAAGGGAGGAAAGCCTCCTCGCTTGGATGTCCGCAGTCTCTTGTTCATCACATTATTCCTTCAGTGCTGTGGAAGTCGCCTGGTTTAACACTGCTAGTTAACTTCGTGTGAGGCCCAGCTGGAACTGGTGCCAGCTCTCTGAAAGATTAGCACAGGCAGCTCCGAGTTAAGGGTTCTGGGGTGGGTAGATAGAACTGTAAGGCATTATAATGATATACTTTGACTAAACCTGCAAATAAGGGTTTGTTGTTGGTTTTGGTTGTTTTTTTTTTCTTTCTGAGGTGTCAGTGGGATCTTGCTAGAGTCCCTTAACGTTGCGTTACATATTGGTGTATTGTACCCACAACTTTCACACACCCACCCCGTTAACATTTTGTCCCATCAATTTCATAGCAATATGTAAAATCTTATGGCTCCACTGAAGTATTTAGTACGACCCTGTGCATCTTCTGTGCCTGCCCGTTTCAGTAATCTGTTTTGGGGTTGGGTGTTTATTTAATTTGGGGTTTGTAGAGATGGGAATAGTGCAGTTGGCAGAGATGCAATGAGGGGAAAACAGCTTCACGTACAGGGCTGCTCAAAAGGGATGCATACTACTGAAGTAAATAGAAAACATTTTTCAGGGGAAATAAATCTGTGTTTCTGCGACAAAACAGAATTTTGGCTTGTAAGCGATTGATATTACTTCTGCAAGATCTTCCTAAAAGGCTGGAAACTAAAGACCGAACGGGTAATCTGTCCCACAGTATGTGGGCTTATACAGGAGCGTGGCTGTCACTGCAAGCTGAAAAGGGCTTTCATGAACACTGTGCAAATCAAATGAATGCCTTCCTCAAAACGGTTGCTTGCCGTACCGTGGCTCTCGCGCCTCGTACGTGAGCAGAGCTGAGACAGGAGCACGTCCTGAAGGTACTTTCTCAAAACCTTGAGTTCTTTGTGGAGGCGCAAAGCGTGCCATGTAATCTTTTCCTTTGCATTCTAGATACATAGAAGTGTACGTAAGTAGAAAGCATCAAATGCAAAGGCACGTGCCTTATGACAAGCAGATGGTGACCTACCGCAGAGTGAGACAAGAACATGAATCCATGTCTGAAGACGGGGGATTGAGCAACACGGGAGGCTCTGATGCTGAAAGAGAAGGTAGCGAGTCCCGCCCTGTCGCACATGTTCTTAGAAGCCTCTTCGTTTTCCCCTGATTGTCTGCTGTGAGCATGACCCTGCATGTCTACAGCTTTCACGTGAGGGAGGCGACAGTTGCAAGCGTTACAGGTGTTTTTTTCTCTGTTCACAGAACTGTGCAGGGAAGGAACAGAAAGGTCCAGGAACGTTTTAGAATCTGGGAACGTCTCATCACCGCTGCACTTTGTCCACGTGAGGGGTTTTCCTACCCAAGCTAGCGCCCAAGACATAATAAACGTGAGTAACAGTAAAACTATGAATGAAATTCGGTTGTCATTACCAATGCAAATCCTTGATTAATCGTTACAGGTGAAGTGACTTCAGATTTTTAATTTATCTGTGTCTGTGTTAGTCCTCAGTGCTGCGTGGCTTCAGGCTGAATGCGTTCGGAAACTTGAGCTTGCTGAGGGTTACAGGCTCCCCAGGGTAGCCATGGCCTCATGGGCACAACAGTGATATGCTCGCCTCTGTAAATAAGAATGGATTAAAGCTTGCCGGGCTGTCTTAATATCCGTTACTTTGACTGGAGTAGCCATTTATAATTTTAGCTAGATTTCTGCGTAGCTGATTGTACAAAAATGCATTTCAGAATCTTTTTAAAATCAGTTTTACTTTGTTTTAATAGTATACAGCGTCACAGAGTGAATGTACCTGCACTTAATGACTGTGACGAGTACAGAACATGTGTGACGCGTGAGGATTTTTGTCCCTGTCAAGAATTACTCTGCCAGGAGCTTACAGAGGGTGGGAGGCTGCGCACTGTGGGAGAGGTGACTTGGGTGTGCCTCAGCTTCACCCAGATGGTGAAGGGGGGGCCTTTTGCTACTCAAGAGCTGAGACCCTCCCATAGCTGGACAGCCTTTAGGAGTAAAACCATCAAGTTTCTCTGTAATAGGGTGCGTTACTGTTCTGTTGTTTCTTTCTCACCACACTCTCTTTTTTTTTCCTCCTTTTCAGTTTTTTGCTCCTCTGAAGCCCACAAGGATCATGGTAGAATACAACTCCCATGGAGATGCCACAGGAGAAGCGGACGTGCATTTTGAGAGCCAAGCGGACGCAGTCGCTGCAATGGCTAAGGAGGGGTCACAGCTGCGTAAGTGAAAAGGAGGGGCTCTTAAAACCCCAAGACTCAGATCCTCGGGTAGTTCGGCACAGCTTGTCTAGCTACCGTTAACACCCTGTGCAAAAGGATCATCTTAAACGTAAATTTCCAAATTATCCTATAATGTGACATTGGCTTTGCACGCAAAAAAAAAAAGAAAGAGGAAAATGTAACTGTACAAGTCACTGACCACAGACTACCGCTCTCAAATTGTTCCCCAGAGTGCAGTGCCATTGAACTATTCCTGAGTGAACATCCAAAGGCAAAAGAAAACTGCTAGTGACAGTGGCACAGTCCCAGGTTTGGTAAGTGCATCCTCTTTCTCTGTTGTTCCTGGTCCGTTTTTAGCAACGTGTACCTCAGGCTTACTATTTCTGATACTTCGCATTTCAACGAGCTTAAAGGCTGAAATTTAGGGCGCCTGAAGGGGATCATCACGGCTAATCTGCAGTCAGGCATCGAGCCTGGACCCTCAAATTCCACGGGATAAGTCCTGTGGCCAAGGGGCAGCAGCTCCTTTCTGAGGTTACAGCCAGAGCTAGCAGAGCTGTGCTGCCCGGACACCGCCGAGCTACGCAGCAACTTGTCCTTTCACAGCTGAGGCCTGCTGGAGCGTGCAAGAGCTTTTTTTTGGTCTCCTCCTCCCCTTAAAACTCCGCTAGTGTGATTGATTAAAGGTTCTGAGGGGATTGTAGTCCCTGGCACGGAGGAGGAAACGTGGCTAAATGTGTTTTCCACGGAGGTGGATTAACAGTAATTGGTCTTTTGGCGGGGGGGATGTTACTTACAATTACAGACAATGGAGTTTAACAAAGTAACATTCTTCAGGTTATTTTTTTTTTTCCTTTTTACCCCATCCACTCTTTCAGAAGCAGGGCAGTAGCCGAGCTAAGGGTGGTAGTCAGCCTGTTTTCAGTGTAAACAGGGCGTAAAGTTTTTCACCGTGTTAACCTTGGCAGGAGGGTTCTGTAGCAGGACGAGTTCTTGGCTTTTTTGTTGCACGGACACTTGTATCTCTCCTTGCCATTTGCAAGAGAAAACTTGCAGGCCGTGTTGGGTCTGAGCATGAGGCGGGCACAGCGTGGTGCGGCAGTTCTTGCTGCTGAAACACGATCGGGTCACGCTCCGTCCTGAAAACGCAAGACAGCCCTCCCTGCTGCAAAAGAAGGGTTTCCCTGGTGTACAACCAGGACAGAAGTTTCCTGTGACCTTTATGGAAGGCCCCGGCCAACCTGTAACACTGCCATGAATTCCCTTCTGAAAGTGGGGGGTGATGGTCACTGCTCCCCGCAGTCCTGGCCCCCACAGCTGCAGCAGGGAGGGCAGGCACCCCCCACCCCCAGCAGCCCTGGATTTCTAATCTAGGCCAGGGATAAGCTCTTGGGGCGGATTCAAGAGGCACACCTAGCTGCGACCTGCATCCAGCACAGCCTCCCTGCCGCCTCGGCACAGAAACACCCAGAAGAATTCCTGGCCCCTGCACTGGGACTCGGCCCCAGCAGAATTAAACACCCCCCCACCCCACTCCGTGTGTGTGGGTGTAGTGCAGCCCCACATGAAGATGTCTTGCCTGTTGCAGCTGTTCGTGTCATCTTACCTTTTTTGGGGAGATCATTTAGTATTGCCAAATTGTACTACTCTGTTATTGCAGACAATAATTCAGAATAAAATGCAGTGGTGCATTTAAAAGAAGCAATAAGCTGCAGCAAGGTCGCTTCTTTTTCTTCTTCCTTTCTTTTTAGGCCAAAGCAAACACATTCCGTGGGTATGAGCGTGAAGATCGAGTACAAGTGTCGCTGCTCAATAACAAGGACAAACTGTATAAAATTTAGTTCAGCATTGTGTAAAAGCATGTAATAAATTGTGTTGACATACTGTGGAAAGATTGTCTGTTGCAAAAGCAGAAGCAGCTGTACTGGAGGCACGGCAAATGCTGCGGGAGGGAGCAGTTCTAGTCTCCAGCTGCGTAATGGTGTACAAAGCATTAATAAAACGCCAATATTTGCCATTGACAAAACCGGAGCGATTTAAGAGCCTCGTACACAGAAGTCAGCCGGCACACTGTGTGGTATAGCCAAAACCTCATCCCTCCTGCCACGCTTCCCTCGAGCTGCGTAAGCACCTGTCATCCGTTACCGGTTTTGAAATACTTTCCTAGGCGTAGCCAAAGCAAAATGGGATGGAAAAGACCACTCAGGACACGGGATAGAGATGATCGAGATTTTATTATTGTGTGGAACAAAATGAACATCAGAAAAACTGCCCTCCGCTCCCCCCAGTCCCAACGTCCCGGTGCCAACCCACACCCTGACGTTACAAGCAGTACCTGAGCAAAACCTGCCTTGAACAGTTGCAGCATCACGAAGCGCGACCTCCCCTACTTACAGGCAGAGACATCCACTGGAGTCTGAAACACCAGGAAAGAGGCAAGTGCCGACACAGACAGCTGGCAGCGAGCACAGTCGCGCTCTGACCTTTCTAAATGCCAGTCTCCATTACAGCCGACAGCCGTATTCTGGAGGGTTTTCTGCTGCCTCCCTGCTCGTTCGTAAGAGATCTCGTGTCACTTCAGAGGACCTGCTCAAGAGCTGTCCTGCTTTTCACGTGAACAACAGTCACGGCCTTCACTTCGAGCAAGCAGGCCGCCAGCCGCTCCTGCCAGGACAGCCGAAAGCTGGGTACAGGTCACAAATAAGCTGTCGCTTTCGGAGCTGCAAAATGCTGGACATACCAGCATTAAAATTATTTACAATAAGTGCCCGGTTTCCAGTTTAATCCTCTAACGTGGAAATTGCTCGGGTCTCATTTTCTCCTTGGGGCATGAGTCGCGCTGGGTTCGGATGCAGGAGTTTGGAATCTCATAGATGTGTACGGTACGTACCCAAAACCACTAACACTAAAGTCGGTATCATCTTCTCCATTCACCTCTGGTGTCTCACCCCTGCAAAGCAGTGTGCCCACACTTCAATTCTAGGCTTTTCCAATTTCAATGCTGTTTACAACTACTTAAATCTACTTCAAGGGACAGCAGCAAGGAAACGTATCTGGTGACTACCGTGAGGGGGGGGAAAAAAGAGCAGAAAAAGAAAAACTATTTAAAGTTGCGCCCCTGTGAAGCGCTGTGGCTCTGAAGGGCACTAAGAGGAGCTGGAGAGCTTGGGTGGCTGAACACGCCGAGGCCTAGGGGGAACTAAAAGAGAGTAATTCCTGGTACGAACTAGCACCAACCACGTAAATAACCTCAGCTCTGACACGCTTTTTAATGCGGTTCCAGCCAGTCTAACGAATAGGAAATCCCCTCTGAGGAATTAAACCACTAACCCCTAATAAAATTTGTACAAACCCAAATGCATTTGTCACATATAAATACATCAGTTTTCTGTGGACTACAAAACATTCTGTGGTCTTAAAGACTGAAGTAGGCTACCAGTATAAACCAGACCTAACACGACTGTGACATGCTATGTGCTTCGTGAGGAAGCCGCCACCACCACTGCTTTTCGGAGTAACACAAAATTCCTTGAGGTAACGGCAACAAAGAATGATGTAGCACGAACTGCGAAACCTCTAATTTGAAACACAGTTTAAAGAATTTCTAGTAGGTGAAAAGCATTCCCACTTCATCTCACCTTCATTTTGATCTAACAAAAAAAGTGAAATGCCAGGTTTATTACAACGATGTTTTCCTGTGCACAAGGGGGAGAGGTGGATCGAAGTGGCCCTAAACCACCTGTGTCTGATGGGGATTTGGTATCTAAATAGTGGGGAATCTAATTCTTCCAGTTGCCACACCAAGATAGGAAGCACAGTTACACCCTTAGCTTTGACCACCATTTTGTAGTCACAGAGTCACAGTGAGGGTCTTTGAGAGGAAGGTCAGAGATGCCTTAAGGCACTTCCATGCCAGATCAGTGCAGGTCGTCAGTTCTCACATCGTGCACGCCTCAAAACCGCCTACACCCCCTAAAATAGAGAAGGCGAACTTTCACAGCTTTGTTGGATTTTTCGGTACTGATTTGCATAGCAAGCCCGTGGCCGGAGGGCTGAGCCAAAGAAATGAAGCTAGAAAGTGTTTATTGGCGTCTTACCTGGCCGCCTTGCACCTGGCACTGATGTAGCACGTTGAGCCAGATTGTCAAAGGCAACCGGGAAAGGGGAAATGGTATTTCAAGTGCAGCCAGACATGAGGATAAAAATGCTCCCGTTCTGCTTTCAGCGAGCCTTTGCTTAGCAGCAGCATGCTTTCACGCTCGAGGACGAGACCGTTCCCGACTCGCACACGCAGACACACGCGCACACACACAGAGCTCTATTTTGGGCAAGGGCTCTCTGTTCTCACTGCGCCCTGAGGCTGCTTGGGCACGCCTTGGGGATAACTACGGGACAGTCCCAAAGCAGTTCTCCCCAGCACAAGCTCAGGTCTGAGAGCAGGCAGATTTTTGTCCAGGGAAGGCTCAGGCTGTTGTTCTAGTCACAAGAGACTGTAAACATGATGAAGCTGCTTCCCCTTCGACCTCCAAAGAACACAGGCAAGTGTCTTCTCTTCACATTCCCCCTGAACAACTCCAGAAACCATCATCAGCTACCACCATTTTCTGGTCACCTCTCTCTGCAACCCGTCCCCTACAAGGGACTGGTCGAATACTGCTGGATGAGCTGCTTGTGACAGGGATTGCAGACGCGCTCGGGGTTAATGCTAGACGGGAGGGGCAGCTCATTCGCTGAACAGGCTTCACAGAAGATGCCACCACAGTTCTTGCAGATGTTCTGGAATGCAGGAAGAGGACAGAAAAATTAAGGAGATGCTCACGACACAAGCAACACAAAGAAACTTAGGTTTTCTCTCATTATCATTCCGTCAACCCAAATCCTCCACTGGGCTAGAGAAAGATGCTCCAAAACTCCACTCTTGTCCCCTCTGAAGACCAGAAGTTTGCTCCTGTGCTCAGGACCAGTTTATAGCAAAGCTCCTTAGGTCAACTGAGAGTAGGTGAAGGCTTGTAGTAAAGCAGGTAAGAGTTACCAATAATGAACCATTCACGTTTTCACTGACTCAGTCTACTAGAGCATTTTGTCCCAAGAGGTGCGCGTGTATATTTTATAGCCATATAAATACACTGGAACAAGCCCTGCCTGAAATAAGTATTTAAATACGCACATGCATTTGGAAACGCGTCAAAGTCGGACATAAAGCTGTGGCATTTGCTTTGCTTTGGACTCACGTGTTTTCTCAAGATAAACACAGGGGAATGGGAAAGACCAGCAATCCTACACAGAGCTCCCACGTGTGTAACAGGAGAGGTTCACGGGGTGATTGGGGGGGGGGGGGCAATCCGGCCCCTCCTCACTGCCTGTTCTAAGCATCATGGTACCGCAGCGTTAGGGAGGAGAGGGCTGGCTTCTGACCACGTCGAGGAACACCGTCTTCGCAGGCGCTGCGGAGCAGGCGGGCTCGGGAGCAGCTGTTTACTCTGGCAAAATCACTAATTGCCAGACCTGTCTCTGTGCCAGGCAGAAATGGAAACACAGCTGCAGCTGGGAGCTCCTGCCCCGAAGAGCAGCAACTCATCACCGGTCACTTGGCTGGACGCGGCTTCTCTGGGTGAGCCTAAAAGCTTCCTGGCCAGATAACCCCGCTGCGCTCCCTAGCCCCCCACCGAAAACTTCCCAAGACCTATTTGGAACCGAGGTACTGGTTCATCTTTACCCGGGTGCAGAGTTGAGAGCCCTGCATGCCTCGTGCCGGAGAGCCGGCCTCCCCGGCACTGCCTGACAGGACTCCTCCCTGCTGCCATCTGTCCACGGCTCCGCAACAGCCTTTTGGCTCAGGTCTTGGCAGATCAGCTAGGGGAAAAGACAACCCAACGCCGCCTTCCAAGCTCCCCCCTAAAGTACTTGCACCAGTGTGACCAGGACGCCTGCTGCACGGACAGCAGTTTTATCAGCGCCTTGACTTGTTTCCTTGCAAACTGCTCCTGCTCCTCGGCATCAGTGGAAGAAAGTATCTAGATGAAGGCAGCACTCCCACTGAACACCCTTTTCGGTAACTCTCTTGTAATCCCTCTAGATTCAGACTGGAAAGCAGTGAGGAAAGGAAGAGGGGCTTAGCCACGAAAAAGAATAAAAATAAGAGAAAAAGGCAAGGTGGCCTAAGCGAAGAAATAACAGACAAGTGTTAACGCCTCCTATTCTCACTTCCGACTGATCCCAGAAAAAAAAAACAACCCACTTAGCTAAAAAGGGAAGAAGCTGCTAAGGGGAAGGAAAAACAAACCATTGGACACAGAGCAGAGAGGGGAACCTCAAGCGACCACTGTTTAACAAGTTTACTTTAAGGGTAAAGCAGACTTCAGAAAAGGGCTCATTTCTTTGTCCCAAGTCACCAGTAGGAAGTCTGTGCTACTCAAAAATGAAAATCGGAGGAAACGCACATTCGCCAGATGACGGAGATGACAACACAAGTCCTCGGAGTTACCTTTCTTTTGCTTCGGCTGCTTTCTTCCTGGCAGAGCTGGCAGATCTCGGCGTTTCCAGGTCCCGACAGCTGTTCCTGTCACCCCAAGTGAAAACCAAGACATTCTGCTTTACACGCTTCTTCACGTGGCACCTGTATTAGAGCTCCACGGCTGATCCGCACCTTACAAGGTGCGGAGGAAGATTTCACATGCTTGTGCTTTTAACCCCTCTCTATTGACAGCACACCGTGCAGCCACGCTGACCACCGTGCATTTGCAGGATGATGTACAGTTGCACTGGCTACACCACAGGGCAGATGGGGAAGCGCAGCACGGCTGCGTGAACCGAGGACCACGCAGCTCGATTTTCAGGCTGAGATCAAGGCTGCTGGCCCAGCAACGAGGTGGGAACTAAACATCTTTTTCAC